TAAACTCTTACAGAACTGGAGAAACAGCATTAAGTTACTGTTATGTACATACAAACCTCAGCTGCTCTCAGTGTTTTAGGTGAAGTTTTGTTCTCAATAATTTTCAGAACTGAGATACTGGAATGTCTTGGTGACTTGGATTTCCTGGCAAAGCTGCACTGCGTACGGCAGGCATGTGAGGTACAGTCCAACTTCATCATCTCACAGTTTTATCTGCAGAAAACTGATCAGATATATTAAAACATTATTTTGTTGGCAGCTCATTTTGAGCGACAGCGCGACCAGGATGTTTCTGGCTGACACTGGAAAGAAAATCTTGTCTTCCATTATAGTCAAAGCCCAAAAAGTAGGTCTGAAACGTGGCTTTTGTGTGTTTAAATTATATTTAATGGTTGAGTTTTTCTCCTCTTATGGACGACTTTCTGTTTTTCCAGAGTCCAAAGCGATTTGAGGAAGTGTTTGAGGAGCTGATTGTCTTCCTGGAGCGTTCGGATCATTGGGAAGACACAGAGCTGGAACTGGCTTCACGAGGGGTTTGTTCGAAAACCCAGATTATTAAATTGTTGTTCCACAGTTCTTCTTTGTTTAATTTTTCACACTCTTCCTCACTAGGTTAGGCATTTGAACTTCTACGACGTTGTTCTGGACTTCATCCTGATGGATTCCTTTGAGGACCTGGAAAATCCTCCCATCTCGATCCAGAACGTGATCAACAACCGCTGGCTCAACAGCTCCTTTAAAGAGACGGTGAGGAAAAACTGCAGTAAAGTAGATCGATTTTCACACCACTGCTTTCTGGCATTGTGTTGAATCACTTATTATTATTATTATTTCTCAGGCGGTGGCGTCAAGCTGTTGGTCAGTACTGAAACAGAAGAGACAACACATGAAGGTAGGACCATCTCCTAATGCATGGGTTCCCCAACTTTTCCATTTCATGGCCCCTTTTGGAAACCTACAGACAATACAACAAAATATGTAAAGAAGCATCAACTTTTAGAATGTTTTTTTATTCATGTAGCATAAATGTTGCCTCATACCATCTGAATTTTATTATCAGACAATATATTATGACTTTATTACCAGATAATACAAATTTTAATGAGTTTCCTCTTTTGATGATTTGAAAATAGGTAATATATTATATTAATCACATTAGATTTTATTTTATTCCCACAGTTCTCATGGCTTTTTGCAGTAGTTTCCTCCACAGCAGCAAAGTTTCCAGTTTCTTGCTAAGCTAGCTTGATTAATTTGACTGGTAATCAGAAAATTAGCATCATTTAAGTCAGTTATATTAACTTGTATTTTATCTAAAAAAATTGAATAACAGAAATCAAAAAAATATGATGAAAATGTAAGATTTTTTTTACTTTTCCATTTTTTTTCTCATCTTGTGAATCCTCCACAGCGCCCCCTGGTGGCTCCTAGCTTAAAAACACTGTCCTAATGCATAACATCAATACTAAAACTCTTATTTCAATGGATTACACTTAGTTGTGAACATTTTTGCCTTTCCAGGTGTCCAATGGCTTCATCGCCCATTTCTACGCCGTGTGTGAACAGATCAGCCCCGTCCTGGCCTGGGGCTTCCTAGGGCCAAAGAGCTCCCTGCACGAGTTCTGCTGCTTCTTTAAGGTCCGAAAATCAGACTGATCTGTGGTATCTGATTTCATTCAGAACTTTTAAATAGAGATGAGTTCTCTTGTCAAAGGCTTATTATGGGAGATTAAAGTCCTTGAAAAAACTTGATTTAATTGCTACTTAAGTTCTGAGTAGAACATGATTTTATATTTAAAAATGATTCAGCCCGACCAAAGTGAAAATTTTGGTATTTTAAAGACTAAGATGAAAATAATTTAAATAACATAATTACAAAATTAGGCAAAATAAAAATGTTTGCAGATCAGTTTTTTAAAAAAAAAAAAAAAAAAACTGTGTGTGTCTGAGTCTGGTGAATTTTTGATTAAAACATGTTTGTTTTTTATTCAGAGGGTAGAGAATCCAGAAATGTGACTCAGCTAAGAGTAGAGATGCTTCAAATTGAAATTACTCAAAGTACAAATACTCCGAAAAGTAATTTTTTTCCCCAAAAAAGTTACTGAGGTAAATCTAACTAGTTACTATCCAACTCTAATAATTTGCCACTTTGTTTAAAATGATCTCAGTTTTGTTTCTCGTTGGTTATCCTGCAGGCGTTGAATCCTGACCTGGTTTCATTTTCATTCGTTTCTCCTGCAGGATCAGGTGCTTCACTTCCTGAAGGACGTCTTTGACCTGGACAAAGTCCGTTACTCCTCAGTGGAGACGCTGGCGGAGGACATGCTGCACCTTCTGCACCGCCGCTCCGACCTGCTGCTGGCCTACCTGGGAGCCGACGCCCGGCGGCCGCTCAGCGGCTGCAGCGGCCCGCGGGTGCAGCTGGTGCCCAGCGCGCTGCTAGAGGCACAAGTACAGTAAGCGGCCACACGCCCAATCCACCAGCCGCTGGACCAAAGAAAGTTATTTTCTCTGACTTTTTCCAAACCATGAGGGGTAAAACGGACCGTCTGAGATCATAGTGTTTGCTTTTGTGGATCGGTTTGCCTTCGTCGTCGTCTGATGTGGCCTACTCCATGTTCACAGTGCCATATCACTATTAGCTGGTGGTGCACCGGTCTCAGTTTTCTGCCTGATTGGCTGATACTGACTTGTTTTAGTCTGAAATGTTGCTGAGTGAAATTTTCCTCCACCTTCTTAAAATTAAACAAAATTGCAGTCAAATGTTTGCTCTGCGTTTGTGCTGCCATCATTCTCAAGACATTAATGTTTCCAGAGATTATCAAAGGTCAACCAGCCAGTCCACATTCACAAAATCAAACTCGAACTGGGAGCAATCAACCAAGCTGTTTGCGCAGCAACATTTTTTTTGTTTCCACAGATTAAGAAAGGTCGACTAGCCAGTCCACATTTATCAAATCTAATGAAATGTTTTAAATCAACTGTGCTGTTTGTGCAGAAAAATATTTTGGAGAAAGTTTGCAAATTTTTTTTTTTTTTGTAGGACTTTTATTTTTTCCTCATTTTGTGGGTCAATATGCAACACGTCAAAAGATTTAAGAAAAAAAAGTTTCCAGAAGCCACCAGAGATAAAACAAAATTTCTATGAATTAACGTTGCTATGTAAAATTTATTATCACAGTTAATTGATAAAAATGTGTCTGATTTTGTAAATGTGGACTGGCTGGTTGACCTTTGATGACCTCTGGAAACATTTATTGGTGTCTGTAAAATGAGTAGCACAAATGAAAACTTGCAGCACAAACGGTTGACGGTGATTTTGATTTGAAAAAGATCAGGTGGCAACTTCACTCGGGTAATGTTCCTAAATATCGCAAGAAAGTTGGCGAGTTGGTAACAGCAACTCGGCAACCTTCAATAAGTATCGGCCGATCACTCTACTCTCAAAATCAATTAGTCCAATTTATCGATGCACCGCTACTCTTAGCAATAATGTGTAGTTTTAACCCGAGGATAAGTGTTGCGCTTTGTAAAATAAAGTTGTATTTATTGCGGTTTATTTGACACTGAAGAGATACGTAGCCATATTTATTTCAGTAGAAAACCAAAAATGTCTGTTTTGTAGATGTTGCAGTTGTCTGTAAGAGCTTCTAGCATATTGCAGGCTTTATCACATTAATTTAACACCAACAATGCAATAATATCAGACGTATTTGCTGCTTAGACGAGCCTCTTGAACAGGAAATGTTTCCTTCCGACGCAGAAACTCTAAAACCTTCATGTTATCATGAAGCTGTGAGCTTTTAAGCAACTTGTGCCAGTCCTTTTTTTAATATAAGCACAAGAAGCCTTAACATGAAAGCAATTAATTACTCATGATCATCTGTCACTGTCGGCTTCAATGTATTTTCACAGTGTGGCGTGCAGAGAGAAGTTTCACTGAAACACATGGAAATGTATTCAAAGTTGCTGTAAATCATTATTTTGGGAGATAAAATGTTATTCTAACAAGTCTGACTTTAAACACCCCACACCTCATGTATGTAGAAGCTGCTACTTTAAGCTGAAATTAACTATAAGTATTCAAAATAATGTAGTCATTTCTGGTAAATGTGTGTAAAAAGTCTTTAGCCTTCAATGTGTGCATGAAAAAACAAATTAAAACAGTTTTTGTGACTTAGGCTGTTAATAATTCATAAACCTGACATTTCCCTGTAAGGTAGCACTTTGTCTTCCCTTATTCACTGCAAAAGTTTCTGGAGTAAATATCTTAGTACACATGAAATAAGACAGATCTAACTTAGAAGTAACTTTACAGGAAGAAATAAGAACTTAATTAAAGTAAATAATTCCTGAGTTATTGATTAAAAAGATCCAGATTATTTTACTTGTGAAACAATCTGCCAGTGGAACAAACCTGTTTTAATCAATATTAAGGAATTATTCATTTAAAACGAGCTGTTTTGCTGTAAAGCTACTTTGAAGTCGTCTCATTTCAGTTGTATAAAGATATTTGCTTTACAAACTACACAAAAATGCCTGGTAAGGTTTTGTGTTTTTGCAGTGTAGTAGTGTGAATTCAAACATGAGCTTTAAACTGAAGAAGGCCCATAAGGTGCAGCATGGATCAGTTCTAAGCATGAATGTACACAAAGTGTATTAAAATTCTCTAAAGCAATCAAGTATTTGCAAAAAATGACTTAAAGACTTTTTGCACATTTAAAAAGGTTTGAAACAAAAAATAAAAACTGGATTGAGTTGCAACGCTGCAAAGAATTTGAGCTTCATTTTTTATTTCAGTCTGCAGGAAATTGATCTGGAAGTCAAATATTTCCTGTTTATTTGTCCTTAATATAAATTTATTAATGTGGTGTTGACTGATTAAGGTTAGATTTGTGGACAAACTGTATTTTGTGTAAAATGAAGCAAATAAAGACTTTTAAAAAAACTAATTTTCCTTTATTCAAACAAATTTTAAAAATGAAACTCAAGTAGATAAATCCCGTTTGTAACAACTTTATTGGTGAACATGGCAACATATTAAAGGTAATTGAAAAGACAACCCAGTAATGTAATATACACAGCACATGAAACCTGTTTTACCTCTAAGGCATGCTTCTCGTTTTGTCCTCTACAACCCGTGTTCAAACACTTTAGCGCATCTCAGTCTAAAACAATTAAAAACCTTTTTTAAAATTTTTTATTTACTACAAATAAAAACTGATAACCTCCAACTTTTCTGCCTAAAACACTGTATGGGTCATTTAAAGTTTCAGTTCCTGCTCTCATCCAACTTTCTAAAGCTTAAAAAAGAGGTACATTTGTAAATAAAGGCATTCAGAAACAACCTCTAAACACACTGTAGCATCATGAAAGAGTTAAAGTCAACCCAGGCTGGCAGAAACAAATCAATCTGAGCAACAATTTGCAATCACAGAATTTAAATTTCATTGCGTTTGCTGCTTTACCTTATCACTGGAGCTCTTGAACGGTCTACGTTCAGCAGCTGGACTGACTCAAAGGATTCCTCCTTTTGGGGTAGGGGGGGAAGAGAAACTACGACACGGCCTGATTTTACGACCTAAAGCCTGCAGCATCCTCCAACACTGTGAGCAAGAAGTGAAGGCAGCAACGTTTCAATAGATGGTTTGCACTGCACTTTAGGGCAGATTTACACCACGACAGAAAATTATTCAGAGAACAAATAATGATGATAAAAATGCATTTCACCGATTATTCCACCTGACATTTGAGCACATTGCTAACTTCTGGCAACAGCGTAGCATGCATTTCATTAAAACCCAGCGTCAACCTAAAGGTATCCGTGAGAAACAGTAGACTTACCAGAAGGAAAATATGGAGCACATATTGACAAACATTTCTTATTTTTTGGGAAGGCAACCATCAAAACAAGTGATAACAACCCGTCATGCAGTTCATGAGTCAAAAAGGCTAAAAAATGAAATAAAAAATGGACTGCTCAGGTGTAAATATTAGGCACATTTCTTTACAACTAAGCATCAACGCATTGAGGCATGTTAACACCACAGGTAAGCATTTCTTTGCATGAGTACACGTCATTTTCAGAGGACAAATATACACTTGTTCCCTTAGGTTTCGCTTACCTGTGTTAATGCGGCAGAACCTAAGGTGCAAGGTCTGGAATGACACTGCAAAGATCAGATATATATATATATGTATATTGCACTGTTTGCCATCAGTGAACAATGCAGTCAAATATTGTTCCGACTTTAGTTCAACAGCCTGGCAGGACTGATCCGTCCACTAGCATCCACATGCTTAAATGGGACATGCTATGAACGTTCTACACAAGTACTGGCATTGGACAGCATTTCTGTTTTGGTTAAATAATAAACATGAGCTAACAAAAGCACTCAACAGGTCAGATGTAAAGAACGCAAAACCCAGATTTCTACCCTCGTATCAGAAAATCCATCACTACACATTCTAAACAAGTCATACTTTCAATGCAACAAATCTAAATTATGCAAGTCACAAGTCTCAGAAACATGTGGTACAAGAATCAAACTTTTAACTTTTTGCCTCTTTTCAGAACATTTCATACTTACCCAGATAAAAAAAAGAGGGAAAGTGGGGTAATTTCTCACAAAATCTACATTTTTAGCAGTTTAGAAAGCACAAAAAAGTGAATTTCTTAGTTTTGTACTTACATTAGCGGAGGGCTCAACTGATGGATGGAGCTGCTGCTTAGCCACCCCCGACCCTACAACATCTATGCTTTTATATTGGATAAACACTTTGCAATGTTTTTATGTAATATATAAACTTCATTGAAAGTTAAAAATACAGAATTGGGATTGGGCAAGACAAAAAATAAAAAATAAAAATAAAGCTTCAACACATTTTTGTTTCATACAGTGGCAAATTTACCTGACTGTCCTGGAAAAAGGAAAAATAAAAATGACACTAAAAATATATAACATTTCTTGAGACCACATTTTCTGAGGGACGTGTTCAGATTACCTGCTTACCGCATTATTTTGTTTTTTTTCTAAACTTTCCTGTGGAAGAGGAAGTGGCTATCAGGGGCAAAACAGCAGTGCATAACAACAACGACTAGCTCAACAGCGACGCCACACATACCTGTCAATTCAAGAGCATCTACAGCTACAGTCAGCAATTTCAATGTTTAAAAATAAAAGAGAAACAATTTCTAATCAGCAAATGAATCATTCAGGATCACGTTTCTCAGCCTTATATAGACAAGTTGGAGAGAGACAGGACAGCACAACTTCAAAGTCGATTTTTATAGGACAAACCCACACATTGCCTACGTCTCAAACAGGTAATACAAAACAAAAACTTTCATTTAAACCCTTTTTTTAATGCATGTTTGTTTTGAACCACCCAAACTTACCAACACAGGAGGTTTCAGTTTGTTTTATTGCAAAAACACAACAGGCAATAGCATTTTTTTTTCTTTTTCTTTTTTTTTTTTTTAAAACTGAGATGATTTACATGGTAATGTCTACAGTTTAATAAACATGAGTTCTAACCACATTTAATGTAGATACAGGGCTGGAATGACCATATGTATAATTACCTTTACTAAAAACATAGCATTTACAAGAAAAACAGAAAGAAAAAAAAAACAGAAGAAAACAAAACAAAATAACCAAGAGGACGTGTTCGCCGGGTAATCTGCCATCTATGTGAAACACTTTCAAACCAAGGAAATTTAAGATCTTCATCAAGGCGTCTGCATCCAAACATTTAACAAAGGATTTTGTTTCGACAATGTAGCATTTACTTTATGTCCACTTCACATTACTGGCCCTGTGCAGAAGAAATACATAGAAGATACATTGCATGTTAACAGCAGAAACAGTGGACTCAGCTTCCCAAAATAAAAAGATTTAAAAACCTGCTGAGGGAGGAAAAAGAAAAAGTGAGGTTAGGTTGTTTTTTTGCTGCTGCTGCGTTCACTGGAACCCTGTAAAAACCTGAGGAAGGAATCTGGGGGGAGTTAAGGTACAAATGACAAGTGATGCAGTCAATGTAGCAGGCAGAGTCTTATTCGCGGCGTACCTGAGGGGCTTGTGGCGCTGCACCCATCGCCTGAGGGTTTCCGGTGCCGTAGTAGGCGGCCTGCTGGCGGTAGTACTCGGCCCAGGCGGCGCTGTAGTCCGGCTGGCCGCCGGGCTGAGCGGCCGCCGGCGCTGCCGCCGGAGCGGCCTGCGGCGCGGCTTGACCTGATGGAGCACAAACAAACGTTCCATCAGTAAAGCCAGTGATGGAAATAAATATCTGGGTGTCTATAGGCGATACAAAACATGTCATTTACATCCCCCCCCCACCCAAAAACATCATTCTTATAGTGTAAGATTTTGAATGTGATCAGTTCAGCCATTCAGCTGTGCAAAACGCCTGGGTAGGACATCAATATATACACCAATCAATCAATAGATAGAATATTCTATCAGATGCACAGCATTCTGGGAGTTTTAAGGATTTTCACTCCCCTTCTCATAGCGGAAGCAACTGACTCACTCACTGGTTACCTAGCAACTCACTCATTCTTTGGTTACCTAGCAACAACCTGTTAAGTAACTGACAGCAGCAGTTTATTAAGGTTTCGCCACTTTGCCTCATAACAGCTTAAAAATAAAAAAAAATAATGGCGTGGAGTGAAAACTGAATAAAATAGGAAGTTACACCACAGGTAGGCAGTTTTTCAGATATTTTATTGGAAAAAAAAACAAAACTAATAATTGATATTGATCAATATGAAAGTTTCCAAACTTCCACATTACAGAGCAGTCTTTCCACCATGTTTCCCCACTGAGCTCCTTCAGACTAGCCAGCAGCAATTAACAAACTCCTGGTGAAACTGCTCATCTGTTGAGCTCAGTATACGAACAACTACTCAGCGAAACGCTGGTGAAAACGTTGAAGGGTTGATAGAGGAAACATGTCACGAGTTTCAGAAAGAGCATGAGTTTTTAAAGAGACAGAGACCCAATTTCAAGACGTTAGTCTTTTTTGACATATGAAGCATTTTGACAACAACTGAAAGTAACAATTACTTGACTGTGCTATAAAAAGGCATCATATGTCTGGAATATGAGTAATACTGCCCCTTTAAGATGTTCACTTTGCCCTGTTTTTAGCTCCAACATCTCTCTTTGCCCTGCCGAAGAAAAGTAAATCCTCCAGTATGAAGGCGCGTCACCCTGATTTCAACCATCCTCCTTACTTCTAAAGGCAATTGTTTGCTCTACATTTCGTGTAGAGGTATCAGAGTAAAGGGGGCCAAACCTTCCTTCCATTTTAACTTTATTTGTGTCGATTACATAAAATCTTGATGAAATATAGAGGTTTGTGGTTGTAATGTCAGAATTTTTGGAAAATAAGAGAAAATACGTTTACAGAGGGTGAGACTGTTGAAAAGCCTGTAAGAAGGGGAACGAACCCGCCACCAACATCTCTGGGTTGCGGGTCAGAAACCTTCTGCTTTTCTATTGGGTGGTTGTTTTTACAGCATCCCTATGATAGAGAGCTGCTAGAAGAGCCAACCACCCTAAAACAATCACCTTTTACCAACAGGAGGAGTTTGATTTAAATAATCTGGACAATATGGAAATAAACCCTACAAGTTAAGGCTGCGTTCATATTAGTGCCGTTTAGTCTACTTCAATCAAACTCTGGTTCGTTTAACTAGAAAGTCTGGTTCGTTTGGGGAAGTATGAATGCACAACCAAACTGATGTGGACCAAAAATTGTCTGAAATGAACTTTGGCGTAGTTCGAATTCATATGTGAATGCCAAGCGGACCAGAAATCGCTACAAAAGCAGGAAATGGACTACAGCGCAGGGAATTCTGGGTAAATACAACCAAAACAAACATGCATGTGTAACATAGTTTAACAACAAAAGAGAAATCCTACAACTGCTACAATCTGACAATATCAACATTTTATGAAGGAAGTCTTCTGAGATTTTCATGCCATGTCCTTCAGTGGTTCTTGCTGCAGCGCCACCACAGGCGAGGAGGGGAACAGCTTTTGTAATTAGTTTGGCGTAAAAGCGAACCGCACTAACTGAAACAAATGTTACAACTTTGGTCCCGAATCGAACCGAATCTAACGGACTATCAGGTGGGGAAACTAAATCAGTTTACTGTAGCGCTGGCTGAATGTTGGGGTCACTGTCTGAATTAATGGCAATTCTGCAGTTTCAAGCTTTTCTGATTTAACACAGAATAAATAACTACTATCTGCGGTGAAAACCCCCTAAATCACAGTAATGCCTTCAGTACCAACCTTGTTTCTTGTAATACTCCTCCCAGGCTTTCGTGTAGTCCTGAGGCGGCTGATTCTGTTGACCTGCAACAACCAAACAAAACAAAGTGCGTTAATACACACAAGCACAAAACATCAAAGGGGAACAAACAAACATCCTACATTTCTAGCCACAATTCAAACATTCATTACTTAATTCAGTAACAGGGGTGGGGGGGGGGGGGAAAAAAGACCCGTTGGAAATCTCTGGCATCAGCTCTGATAAAGCCCTAAAATAACGTCTCTGTGTCAACAGCTCAGTCCTGCAGATAATTCAAAGTCTTGCAGTCTAAACAGCACAGGCGGTGGAGGCTTACTGAAAAACAGCAAGCCCGACAAAATAACCCAGACCTGAAAAAGAAGCGGATTCAAACCCCAGTGGCTGTTTAGACTGTCTTGTGTTAATAGGAGTACACTGAAACTACAATCATATACCCATTTTCTTGTAATATTCCTCCCAGGCCTTGGTGTAATCTGTCTGTCCACTCTGACCTGCAGCCTGTGGGTCACCTGTTAAAAAGAACCGTACTTGTAATTAGTGAATCTTTCTCAGCGGCCTCTCCTCCACCCGCTGTCAGCCTAGAGATGGTGGAGGAAAAACTACTCTGTCGCTCTCTGGGAAAGAGGTTATTTCGAAATGAAGCCAATCCGGCCTGCGTTCTGCTAGATACGCCAGTAAAACTATCCGACTAAGCTGAGCCTAAGCATGTTGCTGTAGAGGCGGACGGACACTGGGCTCACCTTGACCGTTGGGTTGAGCCGTGCCTGGAGCGCCGCTGGTCGGAGTCATGGAGGCCTGAGGCTGCTGGCCGTACTGAGCGTAGTACGCCGCCCACGCTGCCGCGTTGGCATCTGCTGCTGCTTTATCTGAGCACAAATTGGGTTTGGTCACATTTAGGTGAATTTAGACAGGCAGAAAGATAATTAATTAAAAAAATATTGGCATATTCTGCAGATTTTTCATTGAAGCATTTTAGCTTTTTTATACATAACAAATGCATCAAAGGAACAAGTAAATCTTTATTTAAATAACAAAATAAACATTTCCTAAAAGGAAGAAACGCATCATTACTTTAGAGTATGCTGCTTCATTTGTAGCAAAAGCTAAAAAAATAAATACTTCTAACAACTGGACCCGTAACAAAAAGCAAATCAATTAATCGCCTGATGAATTAAAACAAAACAAAAAATTTCCATTTGCATAAATTATCGTTTTTCTCTTTTCTTTCTACCAAAAACTGGATGATAAAAAATCTTCAGTTTCTGTTTTATTTATTTTGGATATGTAAAATGTCTTATTTTGCTTATTCAGCACTGAAACACTATAAAGTTTGTTGTCCAGAAAAAATTGTTACCGTGACAGAAAAAGTTCAGCCCTTCTTACTTGACTTATCAATGCAGCGTAAGGCTGATCTGCTGAATATTTTAATTAATCGATTCATAACTGGACAGCAAAAAGTGATTAATAGGAGATTTTTTTCTTCTTGTAGAAATTGAACAAAGGTTTTCTTTTTGTTTGATTTCAGGGATGGACAGATAGCATTAATAGATATTTATTTAAATAATAAAAAATTGAGCCGTTTAAGTTTGCTCAAGAATAAAAATGTTTGTTTATCCCACCTGCCTGCTTGTTTTTATCTTCTCCATATTAATTCAAGAATAATTTGATCCCAAATTAATTGAACACCTTCCAAATATAACAAAAACTGATATTTTTATATTACAACACAAAAACATAATGCTAGCTGTAACTGTTTAATTTTGCTTTGTAAAGGTTTCTGTGACTCACTTGGATCCGGCTGGCCCTGCTGCCAGTGAGGATAACCGTTCCCCCATCCTTGAGGCTGATAAGGAGCAGGAGGGCCACTGATGAAAAGAAGAGAAATAATACATGAATTAATAACACACACTAAACCAGGAACTTGAACGTGATCTGCTATGCTTCCTTGAACATGTTAGGATTTGGTTTAGCACATTTTCCCACACAAAATCATTCTTGGATAATAAGATTTCATTCTGGTCAGGTCTGCTAACTCAACATTTACACTCTCACGTGAAAATGGCTGCAAACAGATGTGCAATTATACAACCATACTCCTTTGAAAAGCATAAGTGGAGCCTCCTGCACAACCAAAAAGAATGCCACAAGTAGTTTCTGGGTGGTAAGTCAATAACAACACTTGTCTTTTCCAGCAGCCATTGTACAGCAACCAGCTTAAAAAGCATCCTGGAGTTCAGCTTGGGTTGCTAGGTAACTGTGCAATGCCCATGTATTGTGACTCAATCAGGAGGTATTTAAAACGGCTCCTTTTCCAGACACCTAAAATGACTGTGTGTCTTTTTTTTTTTTTTAAGCGCTGGGGTTGCTTTTAGCAGCAGTTGAGACCCAAACTGAAGTATAAAAATGTGTAAAAAGTCAATTTTGCATAATATGTCCCCTTTAAATGAACTCACTGTGGTCCCGGAGGGCCTTGGTTGTAAGGTCCAGGGTTGTAAGGTCCCATTGGAGCACCTGGAGGTCCTGGTGGTCCCGGAGGACCATGCGGACCTGGCCCACCATGTGGACCTGGGGGACCATGTGGGCCTCCCATCGGAGTCACTGGACCCTGATTAAAGGCAGGAGGGGAAAAAGTCAGACATGAGCCCCAACTTCATGTCTGGAGGGAGGATTTTATATAAACCCCAAAACCAAATATCTCACCCCAATCTTCTCCTCCACCAGCTGCCTGGCGTAGTCGATCTGCTGAGGGTTTCCTCTGACGGTGAACATCTTTATGTTGGGGTCGGCGTTGGGTGGAGGATTCCTCTGCAGTTCAATCCTGGCTCCCGACTGCTGGCTGATGCCTTTGATCGTCTCGCCCCCTGAACCAAGACAAAAAACAGTCAACATTTTAATTTTCTGGTTTTCAACCTATTTTGAACTTAAGTTTTACTTTACTTTAGTTAAAGCAGGAGTTTTCACAGAGTTTGTTCACTTTTTATACAGTAAAATCCAAACAGTTTCAAGGTAAGTTAAGGTAAATAATCTTCCCGCTCAGATTAAGTACAATATGAACAATCATTTGACTTTCTGTCTTTTCTCCTACAACTTTATTATAACTTTATTACATAGCAGTGCAGACAGAAAATCACACACTTTCCAAACACCTTATCAAAATTCAAGTATTTCAAGATTTCAAGCACCTGTAAAAACCCTTATTTCAACTAAATGTAGAAAATAAACAAGATGAACTAATGACCTTTTCCAATGATCAGCCCGGTCTTCATGGTTGGGACTGTAAAGGAGAACTCCTGCAGGCCACCAGGGGGCCCCATGTTCCAGTTGCCCTGCCCACGACCACGTCCCCTGCCCCCTCCGTGTCCCGGAGGGCCTCCAGCCTGGACGCTCCTCAGCAGGTCTGAGATGATCTCTGCTGCATGCTGGGCCTGGTCTGGAGGGCCCATGATCTGTGCTATCCTGTCAGGCGTGGTGCCGTCATCTGGAACAAAGGTACAGGCGATAGCTTCAGCGGCTACTCTGAGTCTGTCAACAACATGGTGTAAACACACCAACTAAACGTATCATCAGTAGCTGCGTTTCCATTGACCTTATATCGACCGACTAATGAATAAGTGGCCATTTTCTTAAAAATATGAGTTTTCTCTTGTATCAAGAGGGCCAACTGTCTTTATATAGCAAAGGCTAAATGTTTGAATTTAAAAAAAAAAAAAAAAACATGTCAAAACTATCTTGTGTCAACTGTATTAAATACTGAATACAGAACCGCATAAAGTCCATTTCGCATCCCAAACCGGACTCTGTTCAACTGTTTCTCTTTCCTGTTATGGTATGGCCCCGCCATCTTTGTTTATGTACCAACTGGATGGCTTAAGGACCAGTGTCGCCCCCTGTTGGATGGCAGCCAAATTACACCACCAAAAGGTTGAAAAACATTATTAACCAATTGGAACCAATTTTAACCTGATAAACTATTAATTGATGATTAATTGCAAGTTGATTAACTTTTTGCATCCCTAATGGAAACTGGTCAATTTTGTTTTTTTGCACTTTATTTTACAAAACTGAATGGAAACACTTTTCCCATCAGCTATGATAAATGACCTGATGTTATTACTGGTGGAAAAGACGAAGAAAATTACAGGATGTTCTTTTTTTAATGACTTTCTAATTTTACTGAAACCTAACAATTGCAAAAAATTTTTTATTTTTTTGACATTAGTGGAATATCAACAAAGTTTTGCACACATTTGTAATGGAAACACAGCTACTCACCATTAATCTGTGTTTAGGTCTCAGATTGGTTTGGGTTAGGGTTATACATCAGCTTGTCAGCGTGGTGCATGAGTTTTCATCATAGACCAAAACAACTTCAAACAAACTCCAAACGGTAGGTCGTTTTTGATTCAACCAGCTCACCTGGTTTGAACTGAATTCTGACTCCTGTGTCGTTCTGTATTTTCTTTATCATCTCTCCATTTCTGCCGATGACAATCCCAACTGCAAACCGAGGGACTGGAACCTAAGTGGTGGCAATAAATAAATTAAAAAAATTAAACACAGGATTAAAAGTTGCTAGCTGACAGTCAAACGGTTTAATGACAGACACTCACATCTAAGCTGTCTCCTCCTCCGACCCTGGACCCGTACTCGCCCCGCTGCTCCCTGAAGCCCTGCTCTCTGATCAGCTCCATCACCATCTCTTTGGCTTGCTGAAAATCAGAGAATAAGATGTCACTACATCTGGACAAAAAACATGCAGGTTGATTAAAATCATATCAGGAAGACACCTGAATGAAGATGTTCCACAAAACCTTCTTCAAATCAAACTAAATGGCATCAAATAGTTGTGCAGCAAAGACTTTGGTTTGTGCTGCTCTCATTTTCAGTTTTCAGAGATCATAGAAAGGCAATAAGACTCCCACTTGTTTTTTTAATCAAACAAATTTGGTGTCAATTAACTGACCGGTTTTGTTTGATTCGAAAAACGTAAAGAGACCAACTTCACTCAGGTCAAGAAAACTTTATCCTGAAGTTTAAAGACCAAGATTAAACTCACCTGAACTTTAAATGGGTCTCCGGAAATGCGGAGTGGCTTGTCTGCGCCCGTGTTCTGAGGTCCGTCTTGGATCATGACCATCTTCACGCCGGCTCGTTCCTGCATGTAGCAGCACCACAATCAGGTCGACTTTCTCCCAGTAAGCAACACCTTTCTGCTTTCCGATCCAGCAGCCATTACACACCTGAAGGCTTTTGATGGTCTCTCCTCCCTTCCCAATGACGAGGCCAGCTTTGGAAGCAGGCACCATAATTTCCTGGACCGTCATTCCCGGACCATCGTTGTGGTGGAAAGCTGGAGCCGGACGCCCCTTCTCCACGATCTCAGTAAGAAGTCTCTTTGCGGCCCTGAAGGGGAGGATTTAATTGGACATGTTCACGATGTAATCAAGTGTATCATTTTATAAATGTACAAAAGTTTTTCTTGAATGCTTACTGGATTGATTCTGGTGCCCCTGTTAATGTCACCGACCTGTCGGGCATCCCTCCGCTGTCTACAAGACAGAAACAAGTTTCAACTGGGGCAGCATCTTTTACTTATCAATTATTCTGACAATTAATCAGAGCAAAGAAAAATCATTTAACTACTTGAGCCTTTTTCATACAATAATTTAAAATAATAAACTAGTCAATTTCTTATTTAAATAAGAAAAACATTTTATTGCTTAAAAGGCAAATGTTAAACTCAAACTGGTTCAAACTCAGTGAATTAAAACCGAGTGAAGCTAAAACTGGGCCACTCCAGGGATTTTGGGTAAAACATTTACAGACAAAGGGTGTTTTTTATTCTAAATGCAAAATAAATATATATTTTGTACAGTTTCAGCTTAATTACTGGTGTGAATATGTTTGGGATTTTTTTCAGCAAAGTCTTTGTTGAGTCGGTGTACTCCAGTTAGCGATTAATCGATTACTAAATTAGCTGGTGATTATTTCAATAATTGATTCTTCACGAATAATCATTTCAGCCCTAGTTTCAACACCTAAGGTTAGATCCAATAGTAGTTTCTTAAAAATATTTTATTATTACAAACTTACCAGGAGCAATCTGTATTTTACACCCCGATTCCTGCTGGATGCGGGATATTTGTTCACCTCCTCTTCCAATAACTAAACAAGAGTGAAATACTTCAGTTTTACATACTAAGAACAAAAAAATCGCAATTTACCTCACAAGAAAAAATGACTTACTAAATCCAACCATTCCATCTGGGACCTTGAATTCCTCTGATGTTGATCTAGAAATGAAGACAAAACCATGAGGGTGTGGAACACACACATCTGCCTGAGGCTGGTTGGTAGATTTGAGCTGAGTTTACCTTGGAGGGCCGCCCATTCCTCCCATGGCTGAGAAGGCTGTGGGGAAACATTACAGTCCATTTGACAGGAAGTTAAACTGGTTTTTAAAAGACTTGAAAAGAGGAACAACAAAGACTTACCGTCATTTGTAGCTACTTTCTTTGTTTCTGGTTGATCTGTGATAAAAACACAAAATAAACCGCATAATCACATCTGTTTACACACACTTATTGATGCCGTTGAACCTGGAAATAACTTGTACATGTCATAAATGTGTTAGAAACTTATAGGCTAAGGATACATGAGATTTTACTTCCGCTTTTGCTTTCTGCAGAACATTCAGACTACGACTAAACTTGTATAACAAGTCTTGGCTAAATACGATAAATCCCTAAAGCCAATCTAACAACACACAGCTTGTAGCTGCCATTTTAGATCATCTTAAAGTTTTGTTGTCAAAATATGGAAAACAAAGACTCTTCAACTACATTTTTAGAAAAGGTTCAGTTTGATTAACTGTAATGACATCAAAAGTTAATCTGCATATAATTTATTCATAAACTTTAAAATCAAGCCTCTTCTACACTTAAATGATGTTTGTACAGTGTATTTAATAAACTTCTTGATAATTACTGCTCAAAATCTGTCTAAAAATTTTAATTCAAAGCCTTAAATGGGTAACAGATGTCTTTTTTTACATAAACAAATGCTTCATACATAATATTTATTTAGAGGAGTTGGCACCAAGTCATTTATACATGGACTCACTTTTGATGTTATTGTAACACTGCAAATCAAACTGTCTTCAAAGTCAAGATTTACATTCTTTACGCAAACCACTTTTATCAATTTCTTTCACTAAACAACTGAAAAAAATGACATTTAGACATTGCTAAAACAGCTCTGTAGATTCAAACAAAAGCAAGGGGTGAAGCATGCAACTGTTACGGTCTTCACTTGAAAACGTGAAAAAAATCAATCTCTAATGTGGTTAGTAGGTTGTGTTAGTATTAATGCTGGGTTATAGACAGTTGAAAAGAGGTGAATGCACTGTAGAGGCTACTGAAAGAGAGGGAAGCATTAATCATGAAGAGTTGCATTAAGATCGATTTGAGCCACTGACCGATATTCAGGTTAGGCATGGGAAAATACCCACCAGCGTCCTCCAGGGGCCTTTTCTGGCCTCCGTAGCCAAACTCGTTCGTTGGTGGAGCCGCAACGCCATCTCCGCCGATCTTGGCTGCGATCTGAAAAACAAAAGCATAAGAAACGCGGGACTTTTAGGGTATTTTCATCTCCAGAACATCAAGTGGGGGTTGATGCACGCGGCCTGCGGCCTACTTCTGCCCGGAAGTCGAACCAACAAAGGACCGCTTTAAGTTTGCCTTAAAATGTTTTATTGATAAAATCATACAATATAATGGGGTTGATTTTACTAGACTGATTGTAATTTTGTTATTTTCTATCAAATTATGCAGCAGTGATCGTTTTAGATAGCTGTTTTCACTTTTGCAGTGGCGTAACATTAGTCATCCTCTTAAATTAGCCTAGCCTAGCTTAGTCAGTCGCGCTACCAACTGCAGGGACTCAACGAAAATCGGTCACTTCACCAAGAAGTTCATAATATTTGTTCAATTTTTTGCCCTAATCGTACTTCTTACCTGTCTCGCTCGCTGTAAAGCGTCTTTAAAAGCATCGTTCATCCCCCCACCAGCGTTAGAGGACGGTGGAGCCACGCTGCTATAGTCTGCCATCTCTGCTGCCGTTCTCCTTTGCCGCGCCACAAGATGGAGGGCCTCATTCACTGCCGACAGACGTCTGCACTCGCGGTAACTGGCTCGGTCTCGCGATAAAAAAAATAAAACGCGAGATTAATAAAGGAAAGGGGCAAAAGAAAAACCTCAAACAGTGTCTGCAGATAAAGTAGATTTAAAAGAATATCTGGGGCACTAGAAATAAATCCGACTTTAATCAGCCACTTAAAAAAGATCTCTTAAATATTCCAGAAATTTAGTTCTCCTCCAGCCCAACTCATCTCTCTCATTTCTCCCAGGTTCCCATCTCCATAAAAGACTGGAAAAGTCAGAACTCTGGCTTTAGTCTCATATACATGATCTTATAAGATGGAATATTGTTAGTTACCAATTCTTAAAGTTAAAATTCTAGAATTAAAGTCAGAAATTCGACTGTAAACTCATGATTCTAGTTTTCAAAATAAGCTTGAAAACATTTAATCTTAGAATTCTGAAATTATAGTCAAAATATTAATTCCAACTTAAACCGCATGTGTATCGTTTTTAAAACAAAATGTAATATAATTATGTTTAATCTCAGTTCTGAAATTGAAGTCAGATTTTTACTCTAACACAATTGTTATAAATTTATACTTTTAAAGACCAAAATTAAAATTCAGATAAATATCAGCTACAAAAAACAAAAAAAAATTCCAAATCAGTTTCTTTCAATATGAAACTTATGAAACTTTAACACAAACTGCAGGTGGGTGTGTCTGGTGAATTTCTGGTTAAAACAAGTTTGTGCTTCATTCAGTGAAGTTACTTACAAAGGGTAGAGTATCAGACATTTTACTCAAGAGTGATACTTCATAATGAAATTACTATAGTAAAAGAAAAAAGTACAGAGTAGTAAAAATAACCTTAAAAGTTTGTTTCCCCCCCCCAAACAGTTACTTGAATAAACCAACTCTATATGTAGACAAAGATTGTCTGTCCCACATTAAGGTAGAATTTTATTTAAAAAATCCCAGCAAAGCACATTTCCATACAGAGCAGACCTTAATGACATTATTAGTTTCTGTTAATATATGTGTTCGGTCAACCATGCTTCAACCCTGAGCAGGTTTAATGGTTTCAAATCCTCATACTCGTTTTATTTTCTTGGTCAGAGGTATTAAAAGTTGAAGTTAATCAACAGAAACCAGTCTGTTATACATTGAAACTCAGTAAACATACCAGAACAATAAAAATAAAACAGTTGTTCAGTTGTTTGAGTTCCTCAAGATTCCATGGAAGAAAATATATTTTCAAATTTCTTGGTCAGGCTGTAGTTTATTAGCACACATGGAATCGCTCTCACGAAGCTGGCTCCCATGCCGTTATAATATCCTCTAAATCCGTTCCTCTCATAAATCCCAGTGAGTCCTGATAACATGCCAGAGGCGGGACGCGAATCTGAGATGAAGGCTGGAAAAGAAACCAAAGTAAGATCATACATTCACATGCTTTCAGAAAATATAGTTGTGTTACAGAAGCTGCGTTTCCATTAACTTTGAAATTAAATTTGCTTAATGGAAATATGCATATTTTGAAGAAACAATTGTTTTCATTTATTCATGTATTTTTTAAAAAAAGGTTTTATTCTAGGATGAGATGGTTTTTCGGCTGCAACGAAATTAGTATATTTCACAAAACTGCAAAGGAAACAGTTTTTGCACTTTAACAACCGTATGTTACTACTAGGCCTGTCACAATAACACATTTTGCTGGACGATAAATTGTACTAGAAGTTATCGCGATAAATTATAATATTGTTTTGAGACCATTTTAAAGTAATATAATGATAAGGGGATAATGCAAGAATCAATACACATTCTGGAGTGAACCACATGCCATACCAGTAGGTGGCAGTAATGCTTACCTGACTTTTTTTCCAACCGCCAATAAAAAAAAAAAGTCAGGAAGACGACAAACTTCTTCACGTGAATTTTAATTTTTTTCTTCGTGTTTCGCAGTTGTGAAATTGCTTGTCGTTTTATTTTTCACATTAGTGGAAAATCGACAAACATTTTGCGCACATTTGTAATGGAAACGCAGCCAGAGATGCCAGCTGTTACCCTGTGCCTGCTGCTGTGTCCGGATCACCGCCAGCGGGTAGCTGCTTATTTGCCCAGAAGCAAAAGCCACAAAACTGAAGAAAAACAGCTTGGAGTCACTACTGTAGGTGGGATCGCTTTTGGCCCAGCTCATGATAGACTGCAGTGAGAAGCAAATTAGTTTATTTCAGCAGGATAGATGCGTTTGATCTTTGTGGGGTTGAGTTTGGCTCACCTGATGAACCGCACACTCCACACCTGCATAGGGGATCATGCAGAGGATGCTGGGCCTGAAGCCTCTGTAAAAGGACGACATGGACTCATGTTTGTAAATAGATCTGGCGCACGCCACCACGCCATGATACGTGCCGGCTTGCTGCAGGTTCAGCCTCACCTTCAACACCTGTGGAGCGGATAGAGACGGTGGAGAGTTAAAAAAAAAATCACCAATATTTAAAGGTAATCTATTATGCTACTTTCAAGCAGCTTAGGATATCTCTGTGGTCTATAAAAAAATGTTTTTTTACACAAAATCATTCCTAGGTAATAATATTTTTAGTCTGGTCACTTATTATTTTGTGTTCCTTTCAGAAGGAGTTGTTTTAGGGTGTCTTGTCACTTTATATCCAAATAAGCTGCTGCTTACACTTGTATGTAAAAATAGCTGCAAACAGATTCCAATTATACAACCTTACAGCTTTGAAAAGCAGAAGTGGCGCCTCCTGCACAACCAAGAATCCAGCAAGTGGTCTCTAGACCGCGAGTCAACAACAAAACACTTGTCTTTTCCAGCAGCCATTGAACAGCGCACAGCGCTAAAACCAGCCGACCAAACCTGCTGGATCTCTGCTTGGGTTGCTCGGTAATGTGGCTGGAGTTCTACTTGGGTTGCTAAGTAACACAGTGCCCATTGATTGTGACTTAATCGGGAGGTTTTTTTTAAAACAGCCCGTTTTCCAGACACCAAAAAAAAAAAAAAAAAAACATTTGTTGCTAAAAACAGCTAATTGTTTTTTTAAGCACTTATTCTGTTTTTAGGAACAGTAGAGACCCAGATGGAAGCATAAATGTGTGAAAATTGTGAATTTTCACAGTTGGACCCCTTTCATGTGGGATTCATTTTTATTCCTACTGGATAAATGCTCAAATTATTTTTAAATTCAAGATGAATTAATTTTAAAGCCATTTGCTCATCGTTTCCAGAGGTGCCAATGAAGTCAACATCCTTCCAACAGACAAAACAGAAACAATGAAACGTTCAGAGTTGTCTCTGATACCTCTAATGGGTAGAAAGCAGCATGGGCCACGGCTCCAGAGACGCAACCCAAGCCAAAGCGCTGCTGCACAGTCAGAGGCTCCCGGCTTCTGTTTTGGGTGTAAACTTTCATCTGGGTGAAGCAGAGCAGCTTAGAAACAAGAAGCCATTCATGATTTATTCAGATGCTCGGACAGGCCTCACCTGTGCATAGATAAGACATTGCAGTGTGGACTGTGGAGTACCTTTCAGCACATTGACAACGTTGCCTTGCCACATCGAACGCAATCCTCCTCCTCTGAGCTCCTGAAAGCCTTGGGAAAAAGCCTTGGACCCAAGAACCTGCAGAGCAAAGAGGAAGGGCTTCTGTAATGCACAACATCTCAACTTTTTATGTCACTACAAAGTTTAGACCAGAGGTGTCCAAAGTGTGGCCCCTGAACTGATTGTGTGTGGCCCTTGACTTCAGTTCAAGAATTACACAAATTTGTAAATGAAGACTTTCTGTCTGCAAAATTATCACAAAGTAAAATGATCTTACAGTAGAAAATGTTGGCAACATCACCAATAACTTGTCTTTAAATAACCAAGTCGTTTGATTTTTCCTCATCTGTACAGTGATTTTTACTCGAAAGCAAATTTTACTGCACTGAAACCTGCTTTTAATTAATTTATTAAATGTGGTTAAATGCAGCAAGCATTTTAAATCTTGGTTTTATTGATCAGAATTGACTGAACTGGGTTCTTTTTCCAATTGATGCCTAGAAAATTGGCTAAACTTCTAACAATAAGATAAATCTGCTAAATCCTTTTAAAGTTTTTGATCTAGAATAATTTACACATCCCTTCCCGGTAACAAACTTGACTGCTTTTTAATTAAAGAATTCAATGATTAATTTATTGATAAGCAAGTAAAGGTCATTTTATTTGACTTTATGATTTTGCCCTTGTGACAAAAAGTTTTACACCCTTGGTTTAGACGTTAATGTTGGAATGTTTGCAAAGCTGGAAAAGCTTCCAAAACGGACCTGAAGTTGGGTCTTCAGTCGGTCTATAGGCGCCGTCGCAGTTCGAGAAACCGCATCTGCCAGACCAGCTGACAGAACAAACGTCTTCCAAGCCCCAAAGCCAGACACGTCGTCTGGGAACTCGATGGGCATCGCTCGACTCTCCCCCACATCGAAAACCTGCAGACAGACCAACTCAGAGATTTACCCTGGATTTCCCTCAAACACGTTTTGTTTTTGATGCCAGAATCCGTTTGAAGGTTTTACCAGACTGTGTTTCCACGAGGAAACGAGCTCTCCGATGTTGTCCACCGGGTTTAGAATGATATAATGCAGGAATTCGTCCCAGTCAACTGTCATGGACTTGTCCTTGTCCATCCTAGTGAAGACAGTCAGGAAAACAGAAGCACAACTGTTCATGTTGACTGTTAGACTTTTTTTCCCAAACTGCAAGAACAAATCTTTTGGTATTTTGGTCTAGTTTCTAGTGCACTTCAAATAAGACAAAACTAACTTACAAGTAATTCTTCACCAAGACATAAGAGTTTGTTTCAAGTCAATAATTCCCTATTTAACTAACCAAAATGATTTAATCCATTAAGGGAAATAGTGGGCAGAAGAAATCTTACATTTGTATAATTTTTTTTGCATTCGGCTTTGATATGACCACTCCTAACTCCTTAAACAAACACATGATGTCCTCCTGGTCAATCACTCCTGATCAGAGAAG